CCTACCTACCTACCTACCTACCAACCAACCAACCAACCAACCAACCAACCAACCAACCAACCAACCAACCAACCAACCAACCAACCAACCAACCAACCAACCAACCAACCAACCAACCAGTGGAGCTAGAATTCAGATCTCCATGTGTTTCCAAAGGGGCTCATCTCTATTTCCCTTCTCTTCAGATGACACTACTCTTACATATGTGAAGAGGATGGCTGCAGTCTAGGAAAGTTAATACCAGATCAGACTCATTTCCCTCTTTTCACAATCGTTTGTTCTGAACATAATGTGTGAGTCCTTCTTATGCTTTAAGACACATATCTCCCCTTCAGACCGTGCTAATTGGTTACTGCAAGCAAGGGATGTCATGCTGCTGCCTTGCAAGTTTTTGCACAAAGCAGCCAGACAATGCCACGGGCAAAGTCTAGCAGGGCAGGGTGGAAGAATTGTGAGCAGGCACGTGCCAACTGGTCTACCACGTCGCAGCCTCTCTGCACTCTGCAGAACATGGAGAAAGACCTTGAAAGCATAGCAGCTACACTCGTGTCCTCCTTGATCATGTCTAGAGGCATCTGTTTGCCTGCTTGCCATGAACGTGGGTGGTGGTGGTGCCACTGTTTCTCTTCTGCTGTGCATGTGCCCGTTTGCCTGCCTGCCTGGGTGTGTCTGAGCTTGTTTGCTTCTGGCTCTGCCTGGCAACCTTGTCCCAAACGTACTGTGGCTTCTGATTCACCAGCCTTAGTGGGCACCAGCGGCTGCTTCTTCCTGTCTTTCTGAAGCTGAAATGGCTAATGCTGCTCCATCTGTGGTCCTGCTTCATTTTTTTGTGGCGACCAAGGGACTTTTTCAGCCCAGAAAGGAGCGGAACTGATCAGAACGGTCCTGATTCAGCTGGAACTCTTGGGCTTCATCTGATCAAATCCACTGTCCTAATAAGTATGATCTACCAGATCACTTGTATCATGCAGCTTCACAGCCCTTTGGGCTTCATCTGATCAAATCCACTGTCCCATTTAAAAGCACGTGGATGTCCTAAGAAGTATGATCTACCAGATCACTTGAATCATGCAGCTTCACATCCCCAGAATCTATTCCAAAGATTTCCACTTTTCCAAACACTGTCAAATGTACAGATCCTCCCAGAGACCGCTAGAACAAAGAAGGATGCTGATGGCCTTTCAGGTGTTGTTCAGTCACAATTCCTATCAACGCTAACAGAGGAGGGTTGTTGAGAGCTGCAGTGCAGCAACATCTGGAAGTGTTGGGGGAATTAACAATCTTGCATGCCCGGTAATACTGGGTGTAAGTGGGAGAGGCCTCTTTGGGATCTAAAGGAATTCTTTCCTTTCTTACTAATAAATTAGCAAAGTCCTTTTTCACACCTCTAGCTTGCCCCCCCTTCCTGTTTGTCCTGCTTGTTTTTTCCCCTTTCTTCTTCTACCCTGACCATTGCTGAGAGCAGATGTGTTTCTCTGCTCTTGACCCTGGTCCATGTGGACAACCATCTCCCATGTGGTAGAGGCTGTTATATCTTCCTTTTACCTTTATTACTCTTCTGATTATAACTGATGATCAAGTGTAAATAATTTTATTTTTCCTTTTCTACTTGAGCTACTTCTAAAGCATTTTCTCCCTTCGTATACAAAGAGCTAGTGAGTGCGAAGGGCTGGGTAAAAGCTGGGATTGTTATTATTCTGTCCTAGAGTTTCACTGTGCTGCATGGATTATTCATGTATTTCAATGCTAATTGTAAAAAGGAACAACTAAATTTTCATAAGCCAGAATTACTTTTAACTCTAGCATAGCTAATGAGAGGGTTGGTAAGAACTGCTGTTGAGCAGTACCTGGGAGGCTATAAGTTGCTGACTTGTGGCTGCTTGAGGGGTTTTGGGAGTTGTCCAAAAAGATGACATACAAAGGTATCCCAACATGTCCTTTTAACACGCTGCCACCAGTTGATCTCTTTATCATCCTATATTTCATATGAAAGACTGAGGTCCATTCAGTACTGAAGTTTTAAACAGAAACAGGTTTATTGATTACAAGTTTTTTTTAGGAATAATTCTGAAGCACATTCCTAAAGTTACACAAAGCTTCTGTAGTTTCCTTTAACCCTTTCTATCTTGATTAATACCGATAACACTCTGACTAATCACTCCTTAAACACTTCCTCTCTGCCTCAAATCCCAAAAACTCTTTCTCTCCTCTCTGTCCCTCTGACTAGACTCTGACTTACCCCTCCCATCTAGTTTCTCTGGCTCTGCCTCCCAACGGCTCCCATTGGTGCAGGTCCATACCATTATATATATAGGAAGACAGGGTGTTCACTACATACCTTCCCCATTAAATATGTTTGTTTAGGAGGGGAAACCTAGCAGTTTGCCCTCATAAACAAACACCTAAGTACATACAAGTATAACAATAACTTACCAATACTTGTGCATACTTTATAATAAATTTTCTGTCTGTTATTATGTTTACAAAATCAAACTTACTACTTTAAACATTCAAAACAATCAATATAGTTAAAACAATTAATACCAATTGCATTGAATCACCTTTGCATTAATAAAGACATACCAACCTCTTGCATTACTTACATCAATACAAATTGCATTATATTACCTCCACATCAATAAAGCTACTCACCATTACATTTACCATCATTCTATACCTCTCAGTTCATCACCATCCAAACTTTGCATTTTAATCATAGTTCATAACTATACACAAACAGAACATTTAATGCAACATTACAAACTCTTTTATCCACCCATTAGTCATTTCGTCTTCGAGACAATGTCTCTGCAACCACATTTAAAGATCCTTTGATGCTTCCAATTTCAAAGTCACAATCGTGGAGAATCAAGGACCATCTGGTCAATTTGCTACTGTTTGTTTGCAAAGTTCTCAACCATTTCAAAGGTGAGTGGTCAGTGCACAGGGCAAACTTTCTTCTCCATCTGTATGGCTTATGTTTCTTCCAGGTTTTGATTTGGTCTAGAGAAGTGACATTTTCGTGTTCCATCCATTTGTGCAAACATTGAATCAATTTAGCCCCTAATTGGGCATAAGAATCTTCAGGCTTTTAGGTAAGGGAACGAAATTTTCTTCTAAGGTGTTTTGCATTTATGTCAAATGTAGAATATACCATTTTACTATATGCCTCAAAATCTCTAGCTTGCTCCAGAGGCATCTGAGGGGTATAGGAGTATGACTATCTTCCTGCCGACCTCTTTCTTTGCTCTATCCCTCAATCATTTTTCTAATTCGAAAATCACTTACCAGATCTGGACACCCTTGCACCTTGGCATAAAAAGCCAGAGCTGACATACTCACTTGTACCGTGCAAGGCGCCAAGCCTTTGCGATGAAGATAGACTCCGAACTGGTGTAAATAAATGGTCTACTGTCATAGGCCAAGGTCTACCCAGACCTTCCTTATTACAAAATGCAAGAAATTATTCACAAGCGGGTACGTAGCTGCGCCTGGTGTTGGGAGCGGTTGCTAAACTGATTGCCCTGTTGGCTTCAATCCTCCAATGCTCCATACCTCTTGCGACAATAT